TCACAGGGATGCTGATTTAGGTGCTACACCGCTGTCATCTCAAAAGCTCTGGTCTCATATGTGAACTAGTCTCATATGAAGAGTTTTGACTTTTCTGGTACTTTTCTAGGATAGAGAGAACAATTTGTATTTTTATACACAGAAAAAAATTAAAGTAAAGAAAGACATTTATGTACAAAATGTATGCCATCCCTGTTAGTACTTTAGTAGGTGGGACATTGTCAGTATATTCACGGAATCACGGTCATTGTCAGTATCAAAGCTTGGACTTGGAGCAATGCCATCCCATATTGACCATTCGAAGGTGAAAAGATGCCACTAGTGTCTGCCAGATTACTGTTCATAACCCTGCTATCTGTCCATTTATTATTCCTCGAGGCACTTTAATTGTTCGGCGAATGCAGCCAGCTCATTCCATGGCAGAGGGAGGCCTCTGTTAGGGACAGCCTGGGGTCATGACAGTGGATTGATTAAATGCCAGTCTGTGCCTCACTGAGTAGACAGGGCTCTTTAACACTCCAATGTTGCTCATATATAACTGCTCTTTTCTGGATAACGTACTTCATATCTAGGAAATTTTTCAAGCTGGTTGACCTTTTCTAGCCCCATGATATGACACCTGAGTGATGAAACATTGTACGATCAGTTTTCCAATATTGACATTTTGAAAAAAGTCTAAAAAAAGAAAGAAAAAAAAAAAAGATAATCCCTACCTACCAACCTTACTTTTTTCAGGACTGAAACAGGAAAATTTCCTATCCCTCAGTACATGTAAAGCTGGCCCTGTGGTCTTGAGACAGAAGTATTATATTGAGAGTGCGGGGTCAGACCCAGCCTGGGGTATTTCCAGTGCAGATATTACCGGTGGAGTTGAAACATCAGCGGGAGTATTGATGTTTTGTGCTGACCCAGCTGGGCAGGAATTTTCTCCTATTGATGAATGGATAAAGGTCTGAGGGATTCTCACTGTGATTTATGTGGCTTTAGGCCACATCAGTTTAATTAGTTGGTTCTTGAATTTTCCTGCTTCATTTTTTTTCTGATTTGCAAAAAATAAAAAAAATTCATGTATGAATCAACTACAAATGCTCATATTTTGGCCCAAAAGTTGGAGAAGATTCTTAAAAGTTCAAAATTCATTGTTTAATTTACTTTAAATTCTACAACAGCCTGGAATGTTGATGTCATGGCTCCTATCGTAGATTTTTGGACTTTCAAAGTTTCATAGGATACCAAGGCCTGTTTTTATATTTTTTGCCCTGTTGCTTCATATTTTTTCTGAAAAAATCTGAGAACCAAAAAATCAAATTGGTGTGGCTTTACTGTCAATACCAAAGTTGATTTGAGAACTTACTGGAAGATGTGAGAGAAGTCACTGTGTCATCTCATGAAAGCCCGTGGCCCCAAGGATGTGTCCCACATGCATGTCTACTGCCGGAGTGATGACTCCTTGATTAAACTACTGCTTTGTTGGCTTTAGCAAATGAAAATGGGTCATATCCTATGTACCAGCCACGGGCCTAAGTTTGATATAACTGTCAGAATGTAGCCCTCAACCAGGTGAAATAAAGCAGTCATCCTCAACTGACGTGAAGCATTATAAATTATGCTTTTGAACTTGAAAAAAAAAGCCTCAACCAGAAGATAATAAAAGCTTTGTGAATATAAACTTTTTAAGGTGATTATAGCTCCACTATGATAAATGCATTTATATGTATGTATCCCTGTCAATTAACTGAAACTGAAGATGCTGTACCGAAATTTCAGAAATCATAGTTTATCATCTTGAGGGCCTTCTAATTTGCTTTTGGCTATTCTTAGTAAAGAGGAGGAGAGTCAGAAACATTTCTTTCTATCCAGTACCCTCATTTATTTCATAAATTACAATCACCCATGTATTGATTAATTCTTGACCCTTGCTCCCTTCCTTACGATTTCCTTACACATTTGTTCTTTAATCCTAAAATGGGATAACTATATAACAGCTGATGATACCTGCAAAAACACCAGCGCAGTGGTTGTCCTGCATGGGATGTGAAGTTTGATTGGCTGGCTCTGAGCCTGGCTTCATCCCATACGTATGCAGCATTGTGATGAAGTGAAGGTATTTCTGCTGCCCTAAACTGATTATGTTGTGGACACTGCCGCATCAATCTCTATCAACCAATTACGTACTGACCCAGTAGCGGCGTTATCAAATTTACATACAGTGTCAATTCGCAGGGCTGTCAACAGGGCTTTGCCAATGGTTTGAGTAAGAGAAAAACATGTTGTTTCTCAGGATGTATGTGTGTATGCTGATGAAAGTCCTGGCAAAGTCATGAAGTTCGAATATGGTTAGGTGAAATTTCAACAAAAATTGAATCAAAGATTATGTGACACAGCTTGATATCTATTGATTGTCTTGTGTCAAGTGTTTATCATAAGTGTCCCAAAAGACTTAGAAGCCATGATTTTTACATTACTGTAGGATCAAGGTCACAAGCACTTTGCCTGAATCTGGGTCAAACAGACAGCCAACCTCTCTACTTTGGAACATTTATCCAAGAAATGCTCGTGGTTATTCATGAGTAGCCTGGGTACCATCCGGATTTTCGCTACGCAACGCTCGAAAAAATCACACCATCCGGATTTTTGCTACGCAACGCTCGAAAAAATCAGATTTTTTCGAGCGTACCCAGGCTAATTCATGAGCCTGTTCTTCAGAACACAGAATGCAGTGTATTATGTAGCAAGCAGAATACCCACTAGCCTATTCTTAAGAAGTTAAGGAATGTCCTGTGGGCCTATGGTTGCTGTTGTGAGGCAGCCTGGAGTTGCTAAAGGATATTTCCATCTATTGATTGAACCATGCTTTACTGCACTAAGTACAAAGGTACTGCCAGGCAAGGAACACCACACACACCGTCTACCAAACAGATAGCTCAATAAAATGCTGACACAGACTCTTGAGTAAAATGTCACTGAAACCAACTTGTTATACAACGTGAGTTTTGCAGGCTATCAATTTACTTCCCATCATTATGCAAGGCATCAACCCTGAATAATAGATGTGTTGCTATATATAGAGCTTGTTCTGACTGGGGAAATTTTATAGTCATTACTGAAGCTGTTGTGTTGGAAATGATGATAACTTGTACCATGTGAAAGTAAAAGACGTACAGTTAATTTATTAAGTCGCACATAATTTACTGTTTCAAAAGTATGTGAGTTTTCAGCGTAGCTTTTTGACTCCTCCAAGATAATTACTAGTACTAAACTTTCTTATATCAAAATTGCTAGTTTCTTTGAAAGTAAAATCCTTACCGTAACTGTTAATTTATTAAGTTGCACACAACTACTTTCAGAGTACCTTTTTGACTCCTCCAAGATAATTACTAGTACATGTACTAGTAGTTGTTTCATACATTATGCAGTAACAGTAGTATTCAAACTTTCCTATAGTAAAATTGCCAGTTTCTTTGAAGTAAAATCATTAATTCATTAAGTTGCGCATGCAGTTTCCTGTCTGTTTCAAAATTACTTGAGTCTTCTTCAGAGTAGCTTTTTGACTGCTCTAAGATAATTAGTTGTTCCACATATCACACAGTAGTATATTTACTATTTATACTTTCTTGTAAAATTGACAGTTTCTTTGAAAGTTAAATCCCTACAGTTAATTTATTAAGTTGTACACAAATTCCTGTCTTTCAAAATTATGTGAGTCTTCAGGATTGCTTTTTGACTGGTACAAGATGATTAGTTGTTCCACAGATCACACAGTAGTATATTCAGACTTTCCTCTGAAATTGCCAGTTTCTTAGCATGTAGCATGCCGCAATGATTGCTGCTGTCTCCAACCTCCCGGAGAGTCATTGCCTTGGCATTTATTCCTGTAGGTTTGAGAGCTTTCATTCACACTGGGCAGAAATGTTTTAAAGCTTACATTGTGGGAGAATAAAATACAGGGTATGTGACGTATCAGGTGAAATAGTCATGGTTATACACGATGTCTAGTTCCCGTAAGATTATCAACTGTACCCTATTCTTTTCTTGTGCTGACAATTCATCACTTTTCAAGAAATTAACTGTGCATATCTACTAGTTTATGAATGGGTTAGGCTTAGGCTTAGGATGAGGCACATGGTTCTAGATATCTAAGAACATTTATGTCCTACCTGGGCCGCGATTACGTTCGATACGGGTGTTCCGGCCCGTGTGATAACTAGCGGTACGGCCCGGGGGTTCTTTACGCATACGGCCCGGGCCTTCCAAATGTTCCGTGGAACGATTCGAATGCGTTTCTCCCTAACCGTGTGCACCGATTTCGAAATTCGAATACAAAATTCGGACGTTGGCATTGATGTTGTCGCATCTTCTGGGTTTAGGGACGCCAAATTTTTGCTCATTTCGCATTGAAAGGCGCGTTTTCTTGGGTCGGTATGACATAAATAAAATTACAACACGGTGTATTCCAAATTACCCCAAGTCCCAGCCCTCCCGCGGATCGGATCTCCCTCCGGCTGTCGGGCGATCCGGCGCGCGGTCGGGCTGGTACCTCGGGCGATACGGAATACACCGTGTTGTATTCGATATGTACGATGATTTGATAGATTTTTTCCCAGGTGCAGTTCTGGAGTATCTAGGACTGTGTGCCTAACAGCACAGTTCTGGATAAAGCACTGTTCTGGATACAACACCTGCCACTTTGCCTGGATTTACCCCTTGCACAACCATGGTCTAAATGTCAAATATCTGTATCTGTATTATCTGTATAGCCAGTATAACTGCCCTTCAGCGCAACACACCAGGTTTGCAGGAACGTGGCGCGGTGGCAGCTGGCTGTGTTACACCAAACAACTTGTTACACCTAACCCTTGAACATCTAACACTAAACATTGTCTAAAGCTATCTAATGATAATGTCCCTACTACAGTGTCAGCGAGCTCCACTCTGCGATAGTCTGGGGACATCCTTGACTGATCTATCTTGACTGTTATCTCTGTTCCGCCTCCTCCCAGGTGAGATCTACGAGGGTCGTGACCTCCAGACCCAGGAGGCCGTGGCCCTGAAGCTGGAGTCGGCCAGTCAGCCCAAACAGGTGCTCAAGATGGAGGTGGCTGTGCTCAAGAAACTGCAGGGTGAGTAAAAGTAGCCTCCAGTGTGTTGACATTGCACTGATGGTGTATGAATGTAGGTGCTCCAGCCAGTCGCCAAAGTCAAGGTCTGTGGTCGGCCCCAAATCAGGGGTGTGTATGTTAATTACGTTAAGTACATTAGTTGAGTTTTTTGTTCAGTTAACGTGGGTCAAAAACCTCTGACCGTTCTCCCCTTGCAGGAAAGGACCATGTGTGCCGGTTCATCAGCTGAGTGATCTGTTGAGTGCAGCAACATGTGTTTTTTCCTCACTCCTACTTTCCCTATAAGGCCAGTCATGCCAAAACACAATCAAGTAAAAAAAATTTTCCTGCTGTGGCAAGGATGCTTTCACACAACAGATACAAACAGACACTTCCTGCTGATTTATTTCACTCAGTTTGGGTTAATCATTCTGTCCCTGCAGGAAAGGACCACGTGTGCCGGTTCATCAGCTGAGCGACCTGTTGAGTGCAGCAACATGTGTTTTTTCCTCACTCCTACTTTCCCTATAAGGCCAGTCATGCCAAAACACAATCAAGTAAAAAAAATCTTCCTGCTGATTTATTTCACTCAGTTTGGGTTAATCATTCTGCCCCTGCAGGAAAGGACCACGTGTGCCGGTTCATCAGCTGCGGGAGGAACGAGCGCTTCAACTACGTGGTGATGTCACTGCAGGGGCGGAACCTGGCCGAGCTGCGGCGTAGTCAGGTTTGTTTGTTTGTTTGTTTGTTTGTTTGTTTGTTTGTTTAGAATCTCCACTAATAGTACAGAATTGCTATAATTCCTGGAGTCCTTGTTTACAATACAATACATAGCAATACGATATTATTACAAAACAAATTCTATTTTGGGCCCTTTTGTCTTGTCAGATGGTCTACAGAAGCTGGGAGTGGCAAACTTCATTTCTACTGGGAGGGTTTGAAAACACACAAAGAAACTAACCATATAATTATTCACATCTAATACTGTAAATACTTGCCATAGAAGATTGGCTGTAGTAGAGAGGACGGAGGCATCAGTTTTCAGCATGTTTTATTGAAGACTACCAAATTTTCAGCATGGCTTGTGTTCTCGTGTTATCACCATCAGGTGCGTGGAACCTTCAGCATCAGCACCACCCTCCGCCTCGGTGTACAGATGCTCCGCGCCGTGCAGGCAGTACACGACGTCGGCTTCCTGCACAGGGACATCAAACCTGTGAGTACTCATGGTAGTAACAACTACTGTACCCTGTACACAGGCACATCAAACCTGTGAGTACTCATGGTAGTAACAACTACTGTACCCTGTACACAGGGACATCAAACCTGTGAGTACTCATGGTAGTAACAACTACAGAACTGTACCCTGTACACAGGGACATCAAACCTGTGAGTACTCATGGTAGTAACAACTACTGTACCCTGTACACAGGGACATCAAACCTGTAAGTACTCATGGTAGTAACAACTACTGTACCCTGTACACAGGGACATCAAACCTGTGAGTACTCATGGTAATAACAACTACTGTACCCTGCACACAGGCACATCAAACCTGTAAGTCGTCGTGGTAGTTAGTAATAATCTAGACTATGATGAAAGTTCATCTGTGTTGGTACATGTAGTAATCAAATCAAATCAAATCAAATCTTTATTCAACATCAACATGGCAGACATGCCGAAGTGCTTCAGATATATGTCTGAATTTCATTGACATTTTACAATCATCAACATACAAACATCATTACAATACGTAGATTAAAAACTTCATAGTAATCATAGTAAACTGTTGAACTTTATTCCAACATAGGATTACACAGATTATTGCAATAATTTTAGAATAGGTGGTACATATTCATGGTGATAACCATGACATCAAACCTGTAAGTAATGGTGGTAGTTAGTGGTAATCTAGCCTGTTCATATTCATGGTAGTATTATACCATGACATCAAACAATGTAAATAGTCATGTTGGTAACCATGGCTCTATGCAAAGACATCAAACCTGTATGTATCCATGGTAGTAACAATACTGTATCCCTATTGTATATACAGAGTCACCAAAGCTAATACACACTCATGTTGGTAACCATATCCCTACACAGACACAGATACACCAAGCCTGTGTGTCAAGGATGCAGTTATCTGAGTGTATATATATATATATATGACAATGACAAACATCTTCCCCTAACCCCCCCTGATATATCCTTAAGTATGAAATCTAAGAAGTATGTACCAGCCTCAAAAGCAATTATGAAGTTTTCAAATTTCAAGGTGTATACCTAACTTCGTACCATTTAGATCTAACACCGGCAGATTGACATTTTCTGGCTTTTTTTTTAAGAGCCTCAGATGTGATATATGACATGACTGTGCTTCTTTCCCATGGCGCCATACAAGATAATACTCTTCTAAGTGCAGAAATGATTACAACTATCTATCTTGTACTACCAATATAGTATATCACCTGCTGGCCCTCTCCAGTCCTTCTCAATTGCATGACTCAGCATATTAGGCCTAGAAGAAAAGTATTGTGTTTCCTGTTTCCCAACCAACCCTAGAAAAAACTACTGACCCTGGCCTTTTTGTGTGTGTGAACCCCAGCAAGGTACATGTACATAAATTTTTTGAACTGATTAACCTTTTCTAGCTCCATGATCTAACTCCTGAATGAAGAAATGTTGTACAATCAGTTTCCAAACATTGATACTGAAAATACAAGTATCAGATTCTGTGTTGTATCGCTAAAGGTCGCCTAAGTCTAATAAAAAAAGAAAGCAAAAAAAATCCCTACCTACCAACCCTAATTTTTTCAGGACTGAAACTGGAAACATAACGTTTTTTTTCCTAGGCCTAACTTGCATGAGGTACAGCATGGCTCAGACTTCTTTTTCTTCATACGGTGTACCTGCATTGGTGCGTGGTAACATTGAATATTACCTGCACCAGACAAATTTTGCCTGCACCACTCAGAATTTATAGGAACTATGGTTCATTCTAAAAACTGTTTAGAAACCATAGGTGGTTACAGTCAATGTAACAAATAAAAATCCACGTACCCCTACATGTGCATAGACCAGTGCAGGTTAGGTGCAGATAGACATCAGAAATACCTTCACCTCTCCAATTTTACCTGAACTAACTTGTAGCATATGCACATGGGATTTTGAGTCCTGCGCACTCTTGCCCAGATTATACCATTGGGTCTGCAAACTGCTCAAACTTGTATTGATTTTTGTCCGTTGAGGTCGTGAGGAGAAGGTTGGGCATATTCTGCTCTGGGAATTACATAACCCTGCTCATATCTACAACACATTGGCTCCGGGAAGGATTTCAGTGTCGACAATTTGTACCCTGGCTAAGACGTAATCGTGTTTGGGTCACCTGAGGCTAGTATAATCAGACCGTTGCCAACAGAAATTTGCACCCAGCAAGTTCTAGGATGCACTAACGATGTTATCCATCACAACTCACAGTGGAAGGGAAAATGTCTGATACACAATCATACATTTATTGGTCTTCTCACAATTGCTATGCCAATTATGTCTAATTGTTGCATTTGTCATCAGTACTGGCAGCTTATTTTGTGAAATGTCTATTTTTTCACATATATACATGTATGTCAAAGAGCTTTTAGAAAAGACTAATAGTATACATTAAGTATACTTTATTGTTAGATAGTATCTGCTGAAACACAATGTCATGAACTTTTGAAGACTAAAATTGAGACTGCACCTAACACTGCTGAAAAGTAGCAGGAGGGCATAGTACAACTCATTACAAAAACATCTAGCTTATAGTTTTAACTCCAGCAATGACATGTACCTGCTACATATTGATTATTTTGTGGTAGTCGTTAAGTTCATTAACTGAAACTTCATTTTAGTTTTGGTATGAAACTGTATTTTCTGCAAATCCATGTACCTCTCGCATTGTAGATTATAGTGCAAAAACAGTAATATTGCTAAGTGATAACAAAATGTCTTTAATTCTATCCTATATATTTTGTATCTTTTGCAATTAAGTGAAAGATATGTTTAAACAGACAGAAATTGTTGAATGTGATGTAACGGTTTATCATCTATGTACACATGTATTCTATACTCATCAAGTCAATAAAGAACAGAGATGAAAAAAAAAAAGTTCATTAACTGACATCTTTTTATTTTACAGTCAAACTTCACGATCGGCCGACTGCACCAAGATGCCAGGAAGGTGTACCTCCTGGACTTTGGGCTGGCCAGACAGTATACCAACTCAGCTGGGGAAGTCAGAACGGTCAGTACTACTACTAGGGCTGGGTACCGGTTCAGAAAATTCAGGTCCAGGTCCGGATCAGGTTCAGAGGATCAGGTCCAGGTCCGGACCTAAACCTGGACCTTATTACTGAAGTACAGTAGTAGGAGCAATTTAACTGAGTACGTGTATGCCTTGATGATATCTATCATGGTCCGTGAACTTTTTTGTCGACCTAAAATGGAACCCACTGTTACAGAAGAGACAAACATGGATTTAGGCTAATCTAGTTTGATTCATGGTTATTTTTTTCACTTGCCATGACCAGATTACCTAAAGATGTCTGTACAATCTACCAAAATGTACTCTAAAATTAACAGAAATGTACATCAGGTCCGATGATCAGGTTTTTGCGTTTAGGTTTTTTGGACTCGGTTCTTGAATGTTGTTCAGGTCCAAACAGGTCCAGCTGAACCGGTACCCAGCCCTAGTCAGTACACACAGATTTTCTGAACTCTTTACGTATTGTCTGGAAATTCTTAGAAATGTCCTCTATGGTCAGGGACAAGTTGACAAAACACTGTCAGAAGCTTAATCCAAAATGCCTGTTGAATCTGCTGATCATGAATGCAGCCGGTTAGAATGGACTATTTGGATTACATCTTTGTTGCTTCCTCTTTGTCTACAAACAAAATGTGTTGATACATAAACTAATTAATAAGTACCAACTCAGCTGGGGAAGTTACTAGTAGGATGCATCCTACTAGTAACTTCCCCAGCTGAGTTGGTACTTATTAATTAGTTTATGTATCAACACATTTTGTTTGTAGACAAATGGTCAGTACATACAGATTCTTTTTTCTCTGTAAAGATGTAGTGGTTCTATGGTCACACACACACAGGGACAAATTCACAAAATACTATCAACATTATCAAATTTTAGGTCGAAGTCAAAATCCCTGTGTTTGAATGCAGCAACTTAGACTTGACTATTTGGATTGCATCTTTACGTCTTCTTCCTTGTCTACAAACAAATTTATTGATACATGTGTAAACTAATTAGCTTTGTGTGCCTTACAATTCCCAAACTATAAGATAGACACGGTGTCTCTTTCACAGAGTGCACAACCATCTTCCTACAATTGCAATTTGCCAACATTATGTTGATGTATCAGCATGCTCTCTATTAATTCTCAATTGTTTTCCCCAATTCCCTTTAACGATAACAAATTTATGATTCTAATTTGTATAGATATCAAGATTTCAAAGAAACAAATTTCACACGACAAGACAAGTGCACTAGTTAAAACTAACAGTCTTTTTGCAGGCCTTAGAGTCTGCCAGTGCCAGGTGTAAGAAACAGGAGGAGACAGTAAAAACCCCACTGGTCCCGGGCCGGGGTTCGAACCCACAACCTCCCGGGCTCCAGTCAGACACTCTAACCTCTCCGCTAAAAGGTCTAGATCCGTTTGCCGGATCTGTTGGTAGCGCCTATAAACCCCCCACTGTTACACCGGCACACATGTGTGTCACTTGATCTAAAGAGCTGGCTGGCTGCCTCATCAATTTTTCATCTTGCGTTTGGCGCCAGTCAGACTTTACATGACGGATGTGTCTGCTTGTCGTGCGGTTTCAGCTCCATTGTTTCACGCAGATGACTAAAACTTTAATACCGGAATTTAGTGAAGTCATAAAATGCTGATCTCTTCTCGGTGTTTAGAAGCAGTAAAAATTTTGTTCTTATTATTAAGTTATTGTTCTGATACATGTAAGAAGAAGTCATGAACACACTTTTAGCCAAATTGATTGAAAGCTTTAATGTACAGTAATGTACTAAGAACACACTCAGCATATAAATTGGGATCACAAAATGCTACAGGTGCTATATTTCTTTACAGCAAGCCATGTTGAACTTCATTTTGCTGTTCATAACTTTGCTTTAGTTTATGTCATACATTGATTTGTGTGTATATATTAGCAAGTGCCGTACATGACTTAAGCATACAATGTGAAGATCTTTACATAATGTTGTATATGCACTACATGTATGTTGATTATCACTCCAGCTGAATGCAGAGATATTACATGACATTGTATGTTCACTATAGAGAATGTCATCAAGTGTATAAAATTAAAGGAATCTTTGTTTCACATTTAAATGCCGGATTAAATTTGACCTGCACTATGAAAAAGGGAAACCCTTTGATAATTTCCTTTTAAATTGATTACAATTATGATAATATATATAATGATGAATCTCTCCAGTAGATCTAGTATACAAAAAAAATGTGATCTGCTACAATAACACTGACAGTGTATCATGTCACAATGCTAAACTACTTGTCTTTTTAACCTCCTTTCTAGCCTCGACCAGTGGCAGGTTTCAGGGGAACAGTGCGCTATGCCTCCATCAATGCACACAAGAATATGGTGAGCTCATCACTAAGTCTTCTATGTCTTTTACAATGTAAGATATACCTACCTTAAAGTTGTGCACACTCACAACAGCCATCACAGAGCTATAAATTCAAAAGTTCATGAAAGAAAGATGGATGGATGGTAGAAAGAATATGTGGTGGTGGTAACAGTGTGATGTAACGTAATTCCACCAGGTCACATATATCTGTCACCCTGAAAACTTGCAGCTTAACAGATGTCCAATGCAATATCAGCTTGTAAAATGCATGTCTACTGCATATCGGATATGTGCATACCTGGGGGTGCTGTGCTAGACTGACTTACTTGACTTATGTCGAGTCCTGGTGTCCCTGGCTGTGCTAGAGATCTTTCAAAGTGGCAGAAATATGTAACCTCGTGGATATCAAATTAATGGAAGTTACATGTGTTATCTGTGTAATGTAGGAGATGATATGAAAAAAAGCATGCAGCTGCATAATCCACAAGTGTTTTTGATATTCTTGACATATATTAAAGTCTCAGAAAAGTAATAATTATACATTTTTTGTTATTACAGTTACTGTGGTACTATATATAGTGCATCCCAATTTTCCTTGTGCACCCAATTTTATTAGCCTGGTATCCAGCCTTGTTAGCTTTAGTCCGCTACCCAAGATCCGCTTCCCGCCAACAACGGGGAGCGGATCTTGCGTAGCGGACTAAAGCTAACAAGGCTGGATACCAGGCTACAATTTTATAGCTTGGTCCCAAAGATGAATTTCAAGCCCTGTCAGATATTTTGACCAATGAATATTCACCAGAATGAAACCCAATAGTCCTCATACTTTGCGATGGTAGGATCCATGTGATTGATGATGATAGAACTGGGGCTGCACATAGTGTAGCGATCTTCCTGTAACATGATACACTTAGTTGAGTCTGAGCATAGATGCGGTATCTGTACAGCAATGCTTTTACCTGTACCATCTGTATTCTGCATGCTTTGTTCAGTTACCCCAGAAATATATGGTAGAGTTATCAAAATCATGAGAATCATCAGGCCTCGGGTAAGTGGTCAGTGGAGTCAAGTGATCAGGGTCAATGACCTGATGACTGGAAATGTGTCTATATGTAAATTTATGAACATAAGGCATAATGGGTATATGATCTATACATGGAAATGGTTGCAGCCAAGGCTTGCATAATGATTCAATTGATGTACAAACTATAAAGTGTTACAACTTTGACTGTGCCTTTCACAGTCTACAGGCATACAAATTGTGTGCAGTAATAGCCAAGCAAAGTAATTGCATAACTTACATCCCTCCTCAATGAGCTACATGTAGTTTCATGTTTTTTTTTATTGTCAGACTAACACTTTACAGAGTAGCCAAGCCCAGTAGTTGATGTAGTTTCACTGTATTTTATTGGTAAAAGAGTTTCACAGAGTAACTAAGCCCAGTACTAGATGTAGTTTCCCTGCATTGTATCAGTAGAAGGTCTTTTTTACTGTCAGTATATTTCACAGAGTAGCCAAGCCCAGTACAGACCTGTAGTTCCACTGCATTGTAGATCTATCAGTAGAAGTTAGAGTTTTACTGTCAGTATATTTTACAGAGTAGCCAAGCCCAGTACAGACCCGTAGTTTCACTGCATTGTAGATCTATCAGTAGAAGTTAGAGTTAGAATACATCATACAGTAATACCCTCCCAAAACCATATAATTCTTAAATCTGTGATTGTGCCTCCCTAGGAAATGGGTCGGCACGATGACTTATGGTCCTTACTGTACATGCTGGTGGAGTTCGCCACGGGACACCTGCCCTGGAGGAAGATTAAGGACAAGGTAAGACAGCTGATGTATGGGAAGGGCCGGGAAAGTGCACTTGACCCTTTCTCAAGATGATTGCACAGCAGTCTCACTACTCTCCAAGCAGAGGTTTGGGTTTTGGGGGCATTTTTAGCGTGTTGTTAGGCTTTTTTATCGGGGTTTTTCTTTTGCACTGAATTTCTTTCCACCAAACCCAACAGAGGTTTGGGTTTTGGGGGCATTTTTAGCGTGTTTTTAGGCTTTTTTATCGGGGTTTTTCTTTTGCACTGAATTTCTTTCCACCAAACCCAACCTCTGCCGGCACTCACCCCGGGGCGGGGCAAACCTGTTCAAGAAACGTGACAGTGCTCCTCCCCGGGAACCATCAAATTATCATTAGGGATATCCATTTTACTGTGGTGGATTATCACACATCTAGCCAGTCAGAAAGGCATTCATTGGGCCACACACCTCCCGCTGACTTTGCCTATTCATGCGTCTGGTTCACACCTCCTTGCAGAACGACTGAAATGTGCTGAAGTGATTAGGTTTATAGTCCATTGAAGCTTTCGACTGCCGGCAGAGGTTGGGTTTGGTGGGGAAAAAAATTCAGTGCAAAAGAGAAACCCCGATAAAAAAGCCTAAAAACACGCTGAAAATACCCCCAAAACCCAAACCTCTGCTTGGAGAGTACAGTCTCACTAGAATGTATGTAATATGCATTTGAGACATTCAGCCTTCACCTTAATTGGGAGATACAGTCCGTAGATGTTATCGTAAATAATTTCATCAGGTTGGAAGATACTTAGGGTATAGAATTTTCTTCTTACACAACCATAGAGTTTCTCACCTGCTTACGTTTCGATGTCTATCAGACACCTTCCTCAGAGCTTCTGACTGGAGGTCTGCAACTCGCCGACCTCCAGTCAGAAGCTCTGAGGAAGGTGTCTGATAGACATCGAAGCGTAAGCAGGTGAGAAACCCTATGGTTGTGTAAGAAGAAAATTCTATACCCTACGTAGATGTTATCATTTACCATGTTGCTGTATATTTGTAATGTATGCTGCCAGTGTTCTAGCCAGCCTGAATTTTCTTTACCCTCCTCTCAATTTTGATTGATGTATGAACATTTTGAGCACCAAATTAAGGCCAGAGGTGTGACACTTCTAGGGGATGTCAGGAGGCATGCTCCTTAGAAAGATTTAGAAATCTTGACCCTCCAAAATGCTGTTTCCTGCATTTTAAGGGGCAAATTTTGCTGGTAGACTTAAGTGAGTTTCATGATATCTCCTTCCATATCTTTACATGCTGATTTTGTCCATCAAAGATGACAGATTGGGCAAAATTTTTGTCTGCAATCAGTGACAAAATTCCATCAAATGACTGGAAGATGGACACTGGCTAGAACACTGTGCATCATTTTCAAGAGTTATTTTTGACATGCTGATTAGAGGATGATAATGAACTTGATGAGCTTTCTTGACACTGCAAAAGTATAATAGTGAAGTAAGAGTGAGTGTTTCTTGCCTGTGGCCCACAGGAACAAGTAGGGCTGATGAAGGAGAAATGTGACCACAGAATGCTTCTCAAGTCTCTGCCTTCGGAGTTTAAGCAGTTCCTGGAACATGTCCAGGGCCTCAAGTATTATGACAAGCCAAATTACCAGGTAGGTGCTTGTTCTCTGTAGCCTGGATGCCAGACCTATAGAACACTAGGCCAGAGTGGCTCACAACCTGGAAACAGTCTGGCACCCAGGCTAGCAATATTGGCCTTGCAGCTAGCTGAGGAGCTGGCCTGTGTAGGCTCTGGAAACAGCCTGGCTCGTTCTCAGACAGCGTAGCCTGGATGCCAGACCCATAGCATGCTAGGCCCAGAGCATACCTGAGGGCCTAACTGGGGGCGGTTGTAGCATCGAGCATAATTTCCTTGGGGGCATTATGGCCGAGGAAGTGGCCTGCACAGTCCCTGGAAATACTAGTAGTCTGGCACCCAGCCTAATTCTCTGTTGAAACCAGATTAGTCACCTTTTTCCTCTGCTCAAGGTTACACGACTTCATGCAATTAACCATCTTGCATGGTTGATGTGCTTTACAAGCCTGGAATTACAGTCACCAGCAATTCGTCCACGCTTGTTAAGTTTCATCTCCTGCAGTTGCACTTCCCTATTAATGCATAGCAAAGTCATGGTTGTCAAACGATTGCTCAGGTCATAAAAGAGACCAGATTGTTCCAATTTGTGCAGTATTAATGTGTGTGGCTCTTGTATTTAAGGGCTGTTTTGTGTCATATCTTCAGTTATCAAAATAGTCTTTCTTCTAATCATTAGGCTTAAGATACAGTTAAGGCTGCGCAACTAGCACAGAGTTATTTTGATCTGTGTGCTATCATGCTTGGACTTTTTCTTAAGCTGATTTTTCCCCGTGTGTGTTTCTGCAGTTCCTGCAGGGTCTGATAGAGGGCATGATTCAGAGGAAGAACATCAAGGAAACGGACCCGTATGACTGGGAGCGGGGCAGTGGGGACGGGTCCCTCACCACCACCACCACATCCACCCCTCCTCACCACGGCAAGGAGACCCCAGGACTGGCAGGGTGAGGCATGAATTCATCTATCTCAGCGTGCAAAATACCTGGTTGCCCAGTTGCCCCGGGCAACCAAATTTTACTTGGGGCAACCTATTTCTGAACCTAGGTAGCCTAGTGTGCTACCTGAATTTTGAGAATGCTCCCCCCCCCTCCCCCAAAATCATGCCCACATGGCTTGCACCGCTGTATACGGCAATGCTTTTTAATTCTTTTGAGAAATATTGTCAAAGGCTTAGGTACTTAATTTGAGGAAATTAGTAACTTATAGGTGGGACAACCTAAAATTCTGATGGGCAACCTACGGCAAAAAAGTATTCTGTACTACAACCTACGGCAAAAAAGTATTTTGTACACTGTATCTGCACTTTTAAAAAAGATGATATAATACATGAAAAAGTAAACATGAACAAAATGTACAAGGGCGGCTGAAAGCTTCTTATGCTTGTATAAAGGCTGCCCTTCATCAACTTATGTAACAATTCAAAATAATCAATGCAACAGCCCATCATTTCATTCCTCTCATTTATTTTACCTGTGAATGACACTAATCAGGTCTGTAACATGGTTTTTCAGGTGTACAGTTTTCCTGGGTACATGAAAGTTACAGCTACAAGAAATAAAACAATTAATATCGACAATAAACAAATGAGACTAATAACTAAAGCTGAATTATTTCAGTTTGACACAACACCTTTGTTCAGGTGAGAGTCAATTGTTTTACAATATTCAGGCCCCTGAAATTATAAACTGCCCTTGAAAGACTGTATATGACAAATGTATACAGAAGGTGAGGGTCACAGTATGCGATTTGGTTTGCCGTAGTACATGTACATCAGTTTGTACATTTGCAAGCACCATGCACTCCATAGCTACCCTAGACTAATGTAAGGATGCACTATGGGAAATGAAACTAGTATGTCATTTATAAACCAAAGCCATGCCTGATCTATCGCTTTGGTTACTTTCCTCTTCAAGGAACATGTATCAAAACGGTTAGGGCCAGCAGTAACAGGAAATAGATAAGCACCTTACGGGTAGAATGAATCCAAGGGAAGATGAAGCATGTAGTCTGGCCAGACATACTGGCAACTTGTTTTGGGCGGGTTCAGCCGGTCTGTTGTCTGCAAATGTATGGTCTTATTTCTTTCAGAGGATGGATAGTTTTTTAAATAACATTTGGAATCATTCCGTAGGAAAAAATTGAGAGAAGCAGGAAGTCCTATCTAACCATGATTGTGGAAGGTTTTAGAATGTTTTTTGATGTAAAACTTATTTCATGATGCTTTCTCTACTCAAAAGGATATTCTTCTTTGGCTGTTTTGCACTTGGAATGTTAACATTTATTACATGCTGATCATGAAGCCCTGCTAGATAGACGAATACATCATAATTGAGGGAGAGCTTTCAAATGACACAGGGTAGTCATGTTTCGAACAATGAAACCTTCATAAATTGTTGCCAACTTGTCTTACCTACCAGTATTATAGATCCCAAAGGAAGCATTATGACAGGACGGTTAAGGTTGGTTTGACTCTGTAGCAGGCAGTCATCTGTTAAAGTCACGTGGCGACATGGACAGAATACTAAAGACCCTGCAGTAGATATTCCTTTGAATATACACTACATGCGGGATTCAGATTTAGTCCTAGGCTGCTACTCATTCAGCGCATCACATTTATCAAGACAGCTACATAAAATCCAAGAAAGCCAAAAACATTCTGCGACTTTCTCAGATACAAAAGGGATTGAGTTTCAGGCATTGACTGATAGCAGACCTTTGGAGTTAATAGCACCACTAAAGCCCTAGTTAGAAGAGCACACTTATATCATCCATGCTTCATGCCTTGTATAATAGAATGTTTCCTCTTGCATTGTATATGAACAGTTGACTCTTCCGTGAATTATTTCATCATATTGGCAAGAGACACTGTATAAAAATGTTCTTTATTCAACAACCAGGGGGTTTTCTAATCCAAATTTTCGATGACCATCTGTCACCTTCTTCAGGGCAACAATGACCAATTCGCACTGTAGCTGCAACACTTAACTGCATGATGAATCAGAACCAGTCAGACCCACTGGTTGTTGAATAAAGAACCTTCTTAATAATATACTGTGTTACAGACTGTAATTACTATTATTATGTTTACCTTAGCAGAAGGAAACACATTGTTTTTGCTCTGTCTCTTCTCCAAACAAAAAGGTCAATGACCCGGACCAGACGGCTGTCACCATGGCAACTGGCGCTGTAGCAGACACCCTGTGGTGTTAGGTGACATTATGTAGCAAGTGGCAGGACAGAGTTGGAGGAGCTGGTCACCATTATATGAATGTGTTTAGATAAGAATAAACAGAAAAGTACTTTGTTGAGTAGACCATCCCCATGTGAAGGTAAACATAATACATTTGCTTTGCAAATGTTACCTTTCCAGTTTATATGGTCCTTTCTTATACCCTTTTTTCTTACACACTTCCAGGATCATGGCTGCCACGCCCATCACAGCAGACATGCCGTGCGCGAATACGGAGGATGGAGAGCTGGATGGGAACCTCAGCATCCAGGACAACGTTCCTCCTCAGGCAGCTCGGCTGGACCGCGAGGTCTTATACCTTCTTATACCTTCTCATACCAGTCAACACTGCTGTGTAACAAATCTCTCAAATGATTCCACGTAATTTGTAAATATGTAATACTATGTATATCTACATTGATGTATAATTCAAATGCTGCTATTTTAAAATTGCAAATTTGTAAATGATATCAATGTAAAGAAATGGTTCTCTTAAGGTTTTTGATCTTTTGTGTAATTCAATGATGTTTTTTGTAAATTATAGCGCTAATTCAGATTTGTCAGAAATCTTTCAAATGCTAATAAAGCTTTCTTATGTCTTAAAAAAGGTTGCGGACATCAACCTCAACATCAGGAAACCCCAGCTGGAGGTCCTCAACAATGTGGGGCACGACCTCAACAGGGTCAACGGCGGCGTCCGGCCTGCGTTTGCGCCGGCCGGAGATCCGGAAAAGGGAGAGCTGATCCCCTCGCAGACGCCGAGCAACGACAGGGCCGAGGCGCAGCAGCCGCAGGTCAACGGCGACGTGAACAAGAACCTCGACAACACAGGCTTTGCCGTGGCCAACGGCGAGATTACGGGTAGCACGTACGCAGGCGAACTCAGGGACGTACATGTAGCGCAGGAGGCAAACCTGCAAGGAGATATCGGCGGGGAGATTCCCGCTGGACTGTTGGAGCGGGCGGGAAGCACGGAGTTAGCACAGCAGGGACATGTGGTTGATAATAATGTTGTTGCAGGAGCCGCAGGCTTCAGTCAGAATGTGGTGCTGGACGGAGAGGCGTTCCCGGTGAGACATCATGCTCTACTGGGGCTTCACGAACAGGTGGAGATGGTGGATATACTAGAGGAGGAAGGACACGTGGGCTCTGCTGAGGTTCCAGTCCTTCAGGTGGAAGCTGCCGAGGAAAACATCAGCTTTAGGGACGGGATGTACGACGAGGGGAGAATAGGGGAGGAAGAAGTGAAGGAGCCGTCTTCCAGAAACGGGATTCCGTCCCCGATTCAAGGACCGAACGGTGTCCCTACGGACATGCTCCAGGAGGAGGAGGAGCAAGAAAAGGCTGATGATGGGAAACCGTCGCAGTCTTACCAGGAGGAGAGCAATGGGGACAATGCGGTGCACGAGACGAGAACTGAAAGAACCATGCTGGCGAAGGAGAAGACCTCCTTCGCAGACATCCCCATCCCCAGCGACGCTGCCTCGGAGAGTAATCAGCCCGACAAGGATAACGAATCATTTCCCGAGAAGGACATTGACACGAAAGAAAAGTCAGGTGACGATATTGAACACGAAAGTCCCATGGCACCGGGGATCGTGCGTACCCCTAGCCCAAGCCCCCCGCGGCCAGCCTCAAACAAGAAGTGGATCCTCTCGTTTGAGGATAGCTCTGGGGAGGAGGAGCAGGATGACCAGAGGGGACAGTTCCAGGTGCTGCACGCCGCCACGCCGGAGCCCCCGAAGGTGCAGCAGATCACCAGGGACATACCCAAAGACGAGAAGACTGAAACTAGTAGATCTATTGTGGACTCTGATGTGGAACAGAGGGACCATCCGGGTGCTATGTATGATGAACAGGAAAGGATTCAGAGCGGTTCGTCGGTCTCAGAGCATGCGGCGTCCCCGCCTGAGCCACGACAGGAGCAGGCGAGCACTGCCTCGTCCGATCAGGAGGACCGCAGGGCCAGGGAGATAGAAATCCACCAGGAGCTCAGAATAGAGAGATACGAGGGTTACGTGGAAGAGAAAATGACCGTCGAGGGGGTCATTCCATCATCGACGTCGTTCAGGGCAACAACTACCTACCCGAAAGCTCATGACGATAACAAAGAGGTGATCCAGGAAATTGTGTTCAACAGTGGGGTAGGCAGTGCTGCCCACGACACGCCTAGCAGTCGCTCGGAAGCCAGCTCGCCTGTAAGCTCCAGGCTGTCCAAGTCTACATACAGTGTTCCCGACGAAGGAGACAACAACTCTGCGCAGGGCAGCAGCAAGAAAAGGGACAGCCCCAAGGAGAGAGAGTCTCGAGAGAGCGCGAGCGAGAGAGAACTTTCCAGAACCCCGGAACTCTTCTCCGACAGAGAGGAGGATGCTGTTGTGTTACAGAACAACCTGCTTCCGAAGTCGAGCCCGAGACAAGAGGAGGCAGTTGAGGAGGCAATAGAAAACGAGGACGTTGAGCTGCCTCTTTCCAAGGAGGGGAATAGCAAATCGGACACGTCGGTGAGCGAGACCGTGGAAGGTCAGAAAACGGTGGTGACCCTTCCGCTGGGGCAGGACCCGAAACCGCAGGACGTGTCGGCCTCAAAGGGTCAGAGGTCGGATCCCGACCTGTCGCCGACCGTGAAAGCACCGGAGCTGCCGGAAATGGACCAGACCAGCCACAGCGACCTCAGTACGGTTGTGCCCACCGCTGTGAGCGTAGAGCAAAACGGTTTGGACCTGAAACGGGCGGGGTCCCAGGACCTAACAAGAGCAGGCTCGCAGGAATTCACCCTGGAAGACAACGGGAAAGACAAGGTGGTAGAAAACGGACCCTCGGGCGAGATATTTAGATCAGATAGTATAGACATTCAGCAGTCCTTACAGGAAGAGGAGGTAGCCACAGTGAAGGAAGTGTTAACAGGTTCAGAACATAAAGCCACGGAGAAGGTGATAAAACCTTCGAGGATCCCTGTTCACAGCCCGCAAGTCGGCAGAAAAAAGCCAGAGCAGAGGAGGAAGCTGCCGACCGTACCTCCCACCAACGCTAAATCTCAGACAGGTAGACTAGAGAAACTAGGAAGTAGCTCATCAAAGCCGTCCAAAATCCCCGTGTATAAAGGAGAGTCCTCACCACCCAACGACAAAAATAGCAAAAAGACTGCAGAGACAACAACAACAAAAGTGCAAGAAAACGGCCAGATCTGGTCGGACGATCACTCTACACCGCCCATGTCGCCTAGGTCAAAGTCACTCTCGGAAAGCCCCTTCTCCCCGAGAGAGAGGGGTTCCAGGAAAGGGCGGGAGCTTCCAAGAAGTCCCCGCAGTAGCAAGGACAATGGAGTACCCGTGAGGAGTCCCCTCATCGTGGACTCCTTACAGAAGGAAGGGTTGAGTAGAAAGGACAGGCCCAGGAGCCCGCAAGTCACCGCACTTAGGGAACGGGAGGCTCACATAGAGGACAATATCAGTATTAGCTCCGTGGACTCGGCTACGGACTCTTGGAGCAAGAGGGAGTACACTCCTAGGAGGGGCAGCTCGCCGTCCCCCGTCATGAGAGGCGGGATGGTTTCTCCCATCCTGGCCAGGGAACCCCTGCAGCCGACCTTCGTCCCTGCGTCCGAGCAATCCGTTCTTGTTCCCAGGCCCCCGCCAGGGCAAGCCCCTGCCCGGGGTTGTATCTCAGCAAGGTCAGTGTCGTCTCTTCAACTTCACTTCCTCTTCAAGTTCAGATCCATTTCTAGTCAAATTATTATGTTTACTGAAGGAAAACATATTGTTTTTGCTCTGTTTCTTCTTCGTTTCCAACCAAATAAGGCCAATGAGCTTAATAACCAGACGTCTGTCACCATGATAACTAGTGTTGGGTTACATCTTGTTGCAATTTTATAGCAGGAGGGATTTAGACTCCTGTCACCATATATATAATTATAAATGTGTTTGAGTAAGAATTAACAGAGCAGACCATATGCAAACGTAAACAAGATGCATTTGCTTGCACATCCATTTGTAGTCAAATTAGTTGAATGTGTTTTCACCCTGTTTGATTCTTTCTGACCTTTCTGCTGTTTCTTGTGTTTGTCATTTCTCCAGACCTGTATATATCTTATTCCTGTCACCTATGGTCTTTTCTTCTTCTCTTGTTTCTCTGATTTTCAGTCAGAAAATGTCAGAAAGGTAAATAGAACTTTTTTGTTCCCATTTTGTGTGAATTCCTTCCTTCCATCCTGAAGTGTATAGTGCCTCATTGTAAATGCCTGACATGTGAAATATTGCAACTTTTGTAAAAACTTTGAAATAGTGCAATATGTGGTACAATTGATAATGAACTATAGCACTCAGTTGTCATTGCACCTTGAGTAAAGATGGCTGGCATTTTATGAAGCAAAAACAAACAACTAAATGAGAACCGAAGTAAGGATTTGTAGCAAAACAGGCTCATAGAGAATTGTTTGTGCCGTATGTATGCAGAAATTTTGATACTGCTTGCTCTTGAAGTTGATGTGACACCATTTAATGCTGTTTATGTGCATGTTAACTAGCCTGGAGTCCAGCCTTGTTATCTTTGGAGCAGATCTTGGGGAGCGGACCAAAGCTAACAAGGCTGGACTCCAGGCTACATGTGCTTGATGAAATGTAAACCCCATTGCCTTCCACAGACGACGACGCTACAAGCCATCCATGTCACCCGTGCCAACGCCCCGCGGCCACCGCATCCGATCCGCCTCTTCCTCGCCATCGAGATCCCCCCGCCACGTCGGACCGCTGCGCCCTTAGGACAGAATAACCTCCGTCGCCCGCTCCCATGCTCACCCCCACAGCAGCCACACCAACACCTACAGCTTGTAACAGCCGTGGTCGTGAACCTACAGAAATACATTGTGAAGCAAGTTTAAATTGTAGTTTCCAACACAAGAATTGGACTTAATAACCAAAATTTCAGCTGTACAACTCAAGCCTTTGCTAAGGAATGACTTAGGACAGAATAACCTCTGTTGCCCGCTCATGTTCTCACCCCCACACCAACACCTACAGCTTATAACAGCCGTGGACATACATTGTATAGTGGTACACTGTGAAGCAAGTTTAAACTGTAATTTCCAACGCAAGAAATCGGACTTAACCAAATTTTCAACTGTGCAACCCCCATAGCAACCATAACAACATCCACAGCTTGTTACAGCCATGGACCTACAAGTAGTACACTATGAAGCAAGTTTAAACACAAGAAATCGGACTTATATAGCCAAATTTTTTACTCCAGTCTTTACAACTCCAGTCTTTGTCAAGAAATGACATTGACAGACACTGGACCTGTGCAGTCAAAAATTCTGGTAAGCCCGGGTTCTTGTGTAGGAAATTACAGAGTTTAAACTTGCTTCATAATGACTTCTACCAACACAGACAAACTTTTAAGATGAATACATTGTAGTACACTAGTTAAGAAGGCATGCGCGTGCTACACTTTACCAGCAGCTTTTATTACAAAAGGCTTCCCAATGCAGGCTGATGCTGATAAAACATTTCCAACACTAGCCCCTTAACACAATCCATACAATAAAAAAGTAGGAAATCCCCATTTCATATCCTCAGAAAAAGAGTGGCTTCTTCAAAGGACATCTTCTCACCAACGAATACTGATAGGTTTCTGAGCTTTTCAAACCAATAAAAGCAACAAAAATCAGTGATCCTGAGCCACAAGGTATATTTAAACCCATTTTATGTCCATCCACAGAGCCATACTACTGTCATGTACAGATTCGTGTACATTGTATTACACTCCGGTGGTAGAATTGAAATCTGAAAAGAACTGTTGCCATGCCACCAAAACTGTTTACAAAGTTCCAACTGCCACACCAACAAATGAAATCCACTGAAGAGTGAGCAACTTACTTCCAAACTTCTCAGTGTACATGTAATCCAGTCTTATGTCTTTTGAATCGCTCAGTGTAAGTAACTCATTTTAATTTGCCACTGGTGTAAAATGTAAAGCTTGGACAGTTTTTCAGTTGGATCTCACAGATACACAGGCACGCTAGTACTGCTTTCACGCTAACTCGAGTTGTACAAAATGTGGTGCACCTTGTGTAATTAATGCAGGCTCTGTATGGGTGTTAATATGGGACACAAGTGTGTGGGCACGTCGGCTGCTGTAAATGTTTCCTCTCTATATATATTTATTGTCCAAATGTCTTCCCAAGGCACATCTCGAAACTGCCGCGCGCGTACGGCGGGGCAGGGCAGCCCCGGTGCTGACGAACGATATGCAATACTACGGGATGGCAGGATCATTTTCTGAAATGTATTGCAATCACAGATACTCGTTTTCTTTTCATTTTTTGCTGCTATATGACCTTTGGTATTAAAGATCATGTGCCTTGCAATACACTGCCTTTCCTGCAGTCACCGTGGTGAAATTATGGCCCTTGGGAGCAGCAACGTGCTAGACTATGGGGGAATTAGATATTGTAATTATACTGCACTTGTCAATGTCAGTCCTGAGAGGAGGGCTAGCATATTGTGGAAACGTCGGTGAAGGTTAGACATCCAGGTAGTGATGCATACCGGTTCACTGGACTTAGATCCGGACTTGTAAGAATGTTTAGGTTCAAGTCCAAAAAAACCTAAAAGTCAAGAACCGAGTCCGGACTTATTACCATAAAAGACCATTTCACATACCCCTTTTCTTTCCAAACCACATAAAACCTTCCGTAGATTACAAAATTGCTGCAAAATGAAGAAAACATTGCCATCGGGCATCGTCAAGTACCGGCCTCCAAGTTATGTGGCCAAAGTTTCACCCAGACAACATTGCAAGGTTGCCAACATGCAATTTTGTATATGCCATGGGTTTAGGTCCGGACTTACAAGTCCGGAACTGAACCTAAACCTCCGGACTTGAATCCGGACCTGAACCTAAAATTGGGTTTAGGTATGCATCACTACATCCAGGTAATACGATAGGCCAAAAAGCAGTGTTACTCAAGCAACTGGATATGATTTTGGAAACGGTCAGACATTTCAGCTAGCATCCACTAGCTTATGACAGTGACTGTGAAACCTGAGAAGAAATGCAGGTTTACAAGCACAAACTAGTTTCCAAAATCATATCCAGTTGCTTGAGTAACTGCTTTTTGGCACATATTGTGGAAAGTTGACTCACAAGAAAATAACTGGAAAGGTCCTACCAGCAAACTTGTATGCTATGCATATATTACGTAAGTCAACAAACTTATGATGAAGAGTCCATAATACAATATTGTACCTCTCTTTCTCAGGATTTACCTTGACAAGTGCATAACATTAACTTGTAAATAGCATGCCATATTTATTTGTTGCACTGCACAGTGCCGGTAGCTATATGATAGCAAATTAAAGTAATTGTTTTATATCCGAAAAAAGGCTACATGTATAAAATGTGAAAACTTTTGCAAAATGTCAAATACTGCTTAATACTATGAAATGATTTAATTTTAACGTGACAGGTTCACTAATGGGATTGTTGTAATGTGTGTGGTATGTATATCTTCCCATGTGGTACATGCTTAATGTGTACATGTAATTACTAAGTATTTGTATACATTACCTGGTTATAAGGGGTGGACCAGGATAGATCTTGCTCATGTGAAAATGTTGGTACAAATTCTTGAAGCTTAACAGTTCATTTATTTTGTATTTATTTCTATTATTTTGCATTTTTAAATGCTGACTGTGTTCGGTAACTATTACTTCTCTTCAGAATTTTCAATTCATATTTTATGTATCAACTAAATGAAGTTCTTCCTCTGCTTTCTGGTCCACCCCTAACCTATTTTTTTTTGCTATTGTTTGTCTTGCCAAATATTTGTAAAGCTCTTTATTTCCAATATGCAAATTTTATTTTTATATTCGACCATCTCAATTTCAGCAATTTTCTCATACTGCAGATACATTGCTGCACACAAGTACTGTTTATTGACTGTGTACCGTAGTAATATTAATTGTTAGATACATTCCATGTACACTTTTGACATTCAAGAGTTCAGGCACAATTCGTCAGCAGCAAACTTCTCCACGTATATTTTTCAGCTGCATACATGTACATGTACTACGCATGTGGACATGTTTTAAATGTGCATAGCTGATACGACTCAAAACCTGTGTATGTCGCAAAAATCTCAGTTGTACTGCATATGTGACACTTTTACAGTGTTTTTAAACAAAGTTGACGATACAGATCAGTTTTGGACAGAACCCTGTCAGTGCAATTAGGTTAATTACATTTCAGTATTTCGTTACAAGTCAAAAAGTAACAAGCATTTTCATGCCATGTTTGTCATGTCACTTGTTTAAAAGTTATAAAGTAGTCTTCCGTATTGGATTAGGTACAAATGTAGATCCCAGATAGCCATTTTTATTGATGTCAATAAAGTTATGCAGTGTTCTAATTTATAACCATTTTATGTATTATTTCTCTGTGCCAGGAAAGCATTTCTGCAACAATGTTTCTTTTTTTTTTTTACATTTGAGGCACTCGGTTGTCTTATCTGGAAAAGACAGAAATTTGGAAAATATATTGCTGAATGCTGTGAACTTGTAGAATGATGGCAACTTGACAAATGTGGTTAACAGAGCTCATCTAGTTTGCAGAAGCTATATTTTATGACACCAACAATATTGTTTTTAATTGAAATTAAACAGCAGAAACAAAGCACTGCAAAATACTTGGTAACACATTATTACAGTATATGATGTTTCATGGTGAAGTTCTAAGCCATGACAAAGTTCTGAACCAGCTAAGGTGTTACATAAGAAATATTGCAAACTTCAAGCCTTCCCGGTCTGACATGCTGTGATATCCTTCACTTGTTGCCACAGTACAGAAGTTGAAGTAGCTGGTTTCATATTGGTTCAACAACTGATTCTGACACCCGAGTCTTCTGCTTAAGGACCCATGTAACTTAAGCATGTTGTAAAATGACATTTTATTGTCTTGACTGCATTCTACTGTGTCCACCATAGATCTAAACTACTTTGAAATGCGTCAGTTACCACCCAACAACCAGGGGTGGAGACTATAAAGTCACACAATGTAATAGATACCAACAAACAAGAATGTTCATGGAGTATTCTCACCTACTGTACTGGTAAAATCGAAAATGTTACTCACCAACTGTAACATTACATGTACATGTAGATTATGTGTTACCGCTGCAGTTAGTGGAAATTTACACATTGTAAAGGTAACCAATCTACAAGAAGGCAACACCCGGTGGACACTTTATATACAGCAGGACTGTCAACAACTTCTCACATCGGACAGTAGAGCATTTTACGCTGCAGCTTGACTGTAAAAGAAAGTTTTGGGACATTATTGACACATGGATACGTAATGTCTCTCCCTCGATGTTAACTTACACCTTGTTAGGTGCCAATGATATAACTGCAATCAATAAAGAAGCTGTACTGGCATGTTGGTTAACTTGTTGGTTTCCGAGTGTGTCATTGGACTGATAAGACGGTATTAAGACCATGTAACAGTTACATGTAAGTTATTCAACATGATGGAGAGATTGAAATATTAAATGCAGAATATAATTTTAAACTCCAGATAAGAACAATTTCTAGAAGGATTCTAGGAGAATTCTTCGGTATTTAAAGTATTGTGGCAAGAGTTGATGATTAGTGAACTTCCAAATACTAGTACATGTAAATGTACATGTCTCTAAATTGAGCTGCCGCCATATTTCGCCAGGGAGCACTTTTTCACAGGTGGTCGTTTCTGCCAAATCCTTGAGCTGCCACATACGTGAGAGGTCAGCAGGTGTTTAGGGTTAACGTTCGTATTAGGGTTAGGGGATGTTAGGGTTAGGATTGGGATCATAGTTCAGGGCTACGATTAGACTTACGATTGGGGTAGGTTAGACTACGTTTAGTCTCCCACATCATGACAAACTAACCCCAAGAAGTTTTGGAGTCATGTGTTTGGCAAGATCATGTATTTGGCTTGACACCACAAGCATGCCACAAGGTTATGACGTAATACCTTTGACACAGCTCCACGCTTGTGGTAAGGGTACCATTTTCATGTTTAGTCTCACGAACATGGCTTAAGCACAAGACCATTTCTTCAGAAATTTCTTTCTTTCTTTCAGAAAAAAAGCACGAATATGAGTAGCAAAATTAATACGCTAAAAGAATTTTTTCTAAAGCCCTCGCAACCTGATTGGATGAGTCCATCACGTGACACCCATTCCCAGGGAACTTGATGACTAATCATCAAAAATAATTAGACTAACCAAGTAATAACGTATATTTTCATGCAGGAGAAAATCCATAACTATTTGTCCCAACTTACCAACAGCAAAGTATCAGTCTGCAACGTGTTTTAAGCTAATTCGATCACATTTAATGTAGTAGTGATGGCCACAATACTTGTACTGCCATGTCGTCGGGGTTGTATAATTTGTGCGTACATGTTTGCAACCACGTAGTGTCAAGGTCTGATGGTCTGATGGCTCACCTAGGCTCAGGCAGGCGCTAGCGGCGGCGTGTGCGTCCCGATCGAGAATGTTAATCGTGTGTACTGTACTGGTAAAATCGAAATAAAATCGAAAATGTTACTCACCAACTGTAACATGACATGTAACATGACATGACAGGTGAAAACTACCTGTGTGTGAGTGAAACATACCCAAGTCAAAACGTGTCCTGTTCTCATCTGGAGTCACCACCTTCCCAGTCTGTTGGTCACAGTTGGCCGAGCAGGTCACAGGTATGTGTCCTGACAGATATGACAGATATGACATATCTGTGATATGACATATCATATATGACAGGCAACAGATATGACATATCTGTGATATGACATATCATATATGACAGGCAACAGACAGGTTGCGAGGGCTTTAGAAACTACCTGTGTGTGAGTGATTAGTCGAGTCACCAACGTCACTAAGGTAAAAACTACCTTACACGCACACACACTACCTGTGTGTGAGTGAAACATACCCAAGTCAAAACGTGTCCTGTTCTCATCTGGAGTCACCACCTTCCCAGTCTGTTGGTCACAGTTGGCCGAGCAGGTCACAGGTATGTGTCCTGACAGATATGTATGGGGAAATAGTAGAATAGAATAGTCATGTTAGCAACACAAGAAAGCTCAGACCACTTTTAGTGAAATGAAATATACTAGGTCTGCTGACAATATACTGTAAAGTACTCTGTCTGCTGACAATATACTGTAAAGTACAAATATACTGTAGTCTGCTGACAATATACTGTAAAGTACATCATTAGCAACGTCGATAACAACGTTGATATGATAATGTTGGAAAAATAGTAGAATGGTGATAGTGAATAGTGGGAAATAGTAGAATGAGATTGTATTCATGTTAGCAACACAAGAAAGCTCAGACCACTTTTATCTTGCAGTCTGCTGACAATAAACTGTAAAGTACATCATGAGCAACGTCGATAACAACGTTGAGACTAGTAATGCCCACAACGGACAAAATGGTAAGTTTTGATGAGGCCGTTTCAACCAACGGCCCTCGTTTTACCATATCTGTATCATAGCGGGTATAACACACCACCTTCGCAGGCACGCGGCGGCAGCTATCTACATTACATCGAAATTCGAACGACCTGTTACACCTAACCCTTGAACATCTTACATTGTCTAAATCTATCTAATGATAATGCCCCCCCTTGGTGACAGCGAGTTCCACTCTGTGATAGTTCTAGGAAAGAAAGAGTTTTTGAGCACCTCCATAACATCCAGTAGCGGGCCCGAATATTTCTCAAAAAAACTCACGACCGGGCAATCCCACAGAAAAACTAAAATAGGAACCTACAAAATCGATATGTTGGTTATGAAACTAGGTTAAAATAAAGAAGTGACGGTGACAGAACCGAGTGTCGTCAACCTTTTCCGTCACAAGGATTGAATTGTGTACGACACGGTCACGAAGCATACACTACCCCCAAGTCGCTGTTAACGTTGTAAATCTGTCGCATATCTACACGCCCACCGTTACGTTATTACCTCCATGAAATGTGTCATGGAGGTTATATTTTCAGTTGCATTTATCTGTCCGTCTGTCTGTCTGTTGGTCAACAAGATAACTAAAGAACGCCTGGAACTTGGTGTGTTGGTAGGGTGTGACGAAAACTGGAAATGATGAGATTTTGGTCCCCCTAGTGGCTTCCCTTGGTACTGCAGCGCAACTTCCGGTTTTGATATCTCGCGATCTGGACATGCTAGGGTTATGAAATTTTGATGGAAGGTAGCTCTCGTGCTTGGGAAGAAGTCATATGAGTTTGGGCCCCTAGCGGCTTGTTCTGGAACTGCAGGGCACTTTCTGGGGAAATGTTTAAAAGCCAATAAGTCCAGACAGGAACAACATATTTTCATTATTTTTGGTGTGTAGGTAGCTGAGAGAGAGATGTACATAATTAAATGCAAATTATGCAAATGAGGACTTTATTTGCATAATTAATGAGGAAATTCTATAATTACAGTGTTTTACATTATACTTCTTACATACATGTAATGTCTGTAACCTATGGCAGGCGGAACTTCAACAGATACTAATTCTGCAAATGATGACCTAATTTGCATAATTAATGCGAAAATTCTATGATTTCATAATGGTGAATGATGAGAATGTCATACTTGGGACATCTGTAAGTTAATCAAAAGTTAACATACATCACGATGCATATATCATGTTAATGCAGAGGTCATTTGCACAATTAAAGATGAAATTTACATTTACATATCAAGATCATATTTCATGGAGGTATGAGATTGTCGAACTCTAGTTACAACTACTGTTGTATTTTTTCTATCCTCAGATCCTGTCGTCGAAATGAAAATTAAAGTTTTCGTCAACAACGGTGAGGTACAGGTCACTTCTGCTGTCACAGTAAACAAGACGAAGCCTGCAAACCCAGGTACGCTTTCGCTTTACATGTCGTTTAGAATCTATTTCAATAATCCAAGGTCTTTGTGAGTCGGAGAAAGTGTCCTTCATCTCTTAGCTTCTTTTGCCCTCTTTTTAGAGCCCGCACGTGAAACATTTCTGTTCTTGTGTGATTGTAGCTTTAGATGAACCGATACTTCCCCAAGTTGTAAGTAGTCCGACCGAAGTGCTATAATAACGTCACCGATGCCAACGATGACTGACTGATGTAACGTGTTCTTGTACTTGTGTGCGACCGCAGGACACCACGCGAACCCTCGGACCGACTCACCACCATTGATCGATCTCACCACAGACGAAGACCAACGTGATGGCCTGGTCAGCAATGGTAAGTTTTCTTTTCTGTCTTCTTTCTTGTCCTTCCATAATCTCCAAGTAAATCCTACATTAGTAAGTTATAGCCTTGCCACCGTAGCATCTGCTTGGAAATTAGTCCTCCTGTACATATGTGCATGCCGGGCGTGAGCTTGCTCAACATTTCTGTCTCTTTTGTCCTTCCGTCTGTACATGTCAACATTCTCGTGTTTCCCATTGTTGGTCGTCAGAGAAACATTTCACTGGTCGGTCCCCATGTGGCCCTGGATCACCTGCCCAAGCGGTGGTCGAGTGTGGACCGTGATTCATTCTAGCAGCCTACAGTATATATAACAATGGTACATTTCTTACACTGTCTTCCTTCTGTTATCTCTGTCTCTTTCTGTCTATATTATTTCTTCTTCCTTCCTCAGCTAGTAAGCTCAACACGTGAAAACTGGGACGTGTCCATGTATCGACTCAGGTCGCACTACCAGCACAGACCCATTCGAGGAGACCCCGACTGTAGTGGACCTCACACAAGAGAAAGAGGACGACCCGAAGGAGGACGCTGACATTCTCATCTGCTACGTTACAGATGAGGAGTGGAAAGAGGCAGGGTTTGATCGAGGTTAGCATCTTTTTTTGTGTCGTTTTTTTAGTTGCACAAGTTGCCTTTGTGTCCATTGAGTATTGGTTTAAACCGTGAAGCATTTTACCAACGCCACCATTCACTACATTTCGCGCGCTTTGTGTTTTTCAGACTAGACAAAGGAAGAAGAAAAGTAGCTGAAGGAAGTAGCGACAATGAAAATGTCAGAAACATTAGAAATAGATTTTTTAAAAAGTAGCCTTCTGTATTGTTTTCAGTACAAATGTAGATCCCATAGAGAATTTTGTTAATAATAAAAGGGTTATATGTACTATTCTCACTTTGAGATGCATCAGTTACCACCCAACAACCAGGGGTGGAGACTATTAAGTCACATAATGTAGTAGATACCAACGAACAAGAATGTTCATGGAGTATGCTCACCTACTGTACTGGTAAAATCGAAAATGTTACTCACCAACTGTAACATTACATGTACATGTAGATTATGTGTTACCGCTGCAGTTAGTGGAAATTTACACATTGTAAAGGTAACCAATCTACAAGAAGGCAACACCCGGTGGACACTTTATATACAGCAGGACTGTCAAAAACTTCTCACATCGGACAGTAGAGCATTTTACGCTGCAGCTTGACTGTAAAAGAAAATTTTGGGACATTATTGACACGTGGATACGTAATGTCTCTCCCTCGATGTTAAATTACACCTTGTTAGGTGCCAATAATATTACTGCAATCAATAAAGAAGCTGTACTGGCATGTTGGTTAACTTGTTGGTTTCCGAGTGTGTCATTGGACTGATAAGACGGTATTAAGACCATGTAACAGTTACATGTAAGTTATTCAACATGATGGAGAGATTGAAATGTTAAAATGCCAGTTTGAGCAGACCCTTAGACCTTAGACCTTAGATCCTCCCGCAACCTTGTTGCATAGGTCGACTTCTTGTCTGACTTTTTGTCTCCAAAGGTTTCGGTCTTGCGCCACTACTGCCATATCCTTAAGTGAGTTAAGTCCAAGTTTTACCCCATCATTTTGTAGTGTTTTCCGCAAAGTCACTCTAGGCCGCCCTCTCGGGCGTGTGCCTTCTGGCTTCCATGTTAGGGCTGTTTTTGTGGTTCTGAGATCAGGGAGTTTCCGAGAAACGTAAGATTAGAACAATTTCTAGGAGGCTAGGAACACAATAACAGCTGTACTCTCTGGCACGTATTGTGACAAGAGTTAACTATTAGTGAACTTACAAATAAATGTAGTCTACATGTACCTAAATTGAGCTGCCGCGATATTTCGCCGGGGGGCGCTTTTCACAGGTGGGCGGTTCTGCCAAATCCTTGGGCTGCCACATACGTGAGTGGTCGGCAGTTAAGGTTAGCGTTGGTATTAGGGTTAGGGGATGTTAGGGTTAGGATTGGGATCATCGTTCAGGGCTAGGGTTAGACTTACGATTGGAGTTAGGTTAGACTACGTTTAGTCTCCCACATCATGACAAACTAACACCAAGAAGTGTTGGAGTCATGTATTTGGCAGGATCATGTATTTGGCTTGACACCACAGGCATGCCACAAGGTTATGACGTAATACCTTTGACACAGTTCCACACTGGTGGGTAAGGGTACCGTTTGCATGTTTACTCTCACGAACATGACTTCAGCAGAAGACCATTTCTTTAAAAAAAGAACACGAATTTTGAGTAGCAAAATCAATACGCTAAAAGAGACTTCTGAAGTCCTCGCATCCTGATTGGATAACACCATCACAAATGTAGATCACCATCACGTGACACCGTTCTTTTCATAGGGAACAGAACTAATCATCAAAAATAATTAGACTAACCAAGTAATAACGTATATTTTCACGCAGGAGAAAATCCATAACTATTTGTCCCAACTTACCAACAGCAAAGTATCAGTCTGCAACGTGTTTTAAGCTAATTCGATCACATTCAATGTAGTAGTGATGACCAAAATACTTGTACTGCCATGTCGTCGGGGTTGTATAACTTGTGCGTGCATGTTTGTTTATATTGTCGTCGAAATCTAACTCTACCTAATCAGTCAAGGTTACTAGTAACGTGTCCTGTTCTCATCTGGTTCTGGTAAAAGAAGTAAAACCTCTGGTAAAAGAAGTAAAACCTCTGGTAAAAGTTAAAGTCTTATGGTAGAAGCAAAAGAAGCAAAAGAAGCAAAAGAAGCAAAAGAAGCAAAAGAAGTCTGTCGCCACAGGTATGTATGATAATGTTGGGGAAATAGTAGAAACGGAGAGGGCAAAAGAAGCTAAGAAGTAAAACCACAGTCACCACCTTCCCAATCTGTCTCCGTCACTTCTTTATTTTAACCTACGGAGAGGGCAAAAGAAGCTAAGAAGTAAAACCACAGTCACCACCTTCCCAATCTGACACCGTTCTTTTCATAGGGAACAGGACTAATCATCAAAAATAATTAGACTAACCAAGTAATAACGTATATTTTCACGCAGGAGAAAATCCATAACTATTTGTCCCAACTTACCAACAGCAAAGTATCAGTCTGCAACGTGTTTTAAGCTAATTCGATCACATTCAATGTAGTAGTGATGACCAAAATACTTGTACTGCCATGTCGTCGGGGTTGTATAACTTGTGCGTGCATGTTTGTTTATATTGTCGTCGAAATCTAACTCTACCTAATCAGTCAAGGTTACTAGTAACGTGTCCTGTTCTCATCTGGTTCTGGTAAAAGAAGTAAAACCTCTGGTAAAGAAGTAAACCTACTGGTAAAGTTAAAGTCTTATGGTAGAAGCAAAAGAAGCAAAAG